CAAAAGCTGATGTGGCACAATTGAAAGTATAAATGAATTGCAGGGATGTGGATGGTCTAAAAATCCTATTTCAAACTCTCGTGGTATAATACAAAATGATATATAATTATTTGATAATTATTTATAATAAAATTATAACGTTAAATGATTAAATAAAGTCCATGATATAAAATCATTCAAATGATTTTAGAAATATTAAAAAAAAACTTTTTTTAGTAAACAATATTCACCTTTTAACAATTCAGATGAATCCTTAATAAATGAATCTTATTTGACAAAAAAAATTTATTGTTTAATAATTCTAAAACATTTTAAATAACTTTGTATCTTGAACATCCCTAAACAACTATCAAACAACCATATTTAATTTTACACTATACCATATAAACCACAATCATCTCGTAACAAATCATCCGACAACCGACAAACAACACATGAAAGTAAGAGGAAGGGTACCTCTGGATGGTGCTGAGTCCTCTGCTACCCATAACCAAAGAATCCAATTTCAGATCATCAATGGCTTCCACCAGTTTCTCTCTTGCATCTCCCCAAAACAATTTCGCCACCACATGTATCTATATATATACACATATATATATATATATATGAAAACATCATCAAATATACAGATTAATACTGAAGAAGAAGAAGAATCTATTTACCTCTTTTTGTCTAGCTGCGGTATCGAGCATATCCAGAACTTCCATATCCATCTTCACATCGTATTTCGTCATCACTTCCGGCTCACGAAACTCCACCAACGGAATCAAGGCTAAAAACAGAAAATCAAACTAATCATTCGGCCAAAATTAACTGATGAATCAACAAGATCAAGTGGAATTAACTTACGAGAACCAGTAGTGGCCCAGAGTTGATTTCGTGATTCATCGCTGGGGGGATGAGTTTTGACATGGATGATGAAGAAGGTATCGCCGTTATCAGCTAAGTTATCGATTGCCCATTTCAAAGCAACTTTGCTGCTGTTTGAAAAATCCATGGCTACGCCAACCTTCCTATCCTTCACCATCGTTACAGAAATCGGATGATCTCAGAAGCAGATCTGCAATAACTGGATTTTGTTGATTTGGGTTTAGGATCTGATCTTTTGCAAGGGAAATGGAATTACTTGTATAGTCTTCAAGTGGAAAAGTAAAGAACCCAAACGCAACCCGGACCCGGACCCCTTTGTTTGTCGGATTAAAGAATGATCCAGCCCATCTTATCCATTTCTACCAACCACGACTAAAACAACCAGTTTAATTGTTCCTAACTTTATTTGTGTATTTTGATGGTTTAGGTCATTTATTTATATAGTATATATATATTACCTTATAAAGCAAATTTGAAAAAAAGTCTTAAAAACAATTTTAAATGTATAAGGTATTACTTTCTTACGCACGAAGTCATAAAAGTTTTAGTTACAGCTCATGTACAACTTTTCAATGCTAAACTAAGGGGCCGTTTACCTGATCATTTACCCGGTAAGTGTTTACCCGTGAAATTCAACGTTATCGCTTACTTATTGAGTAAGATATTAGTTCACAAAAACAATATCATATGCAACAATTTACCCGGTAAGCACTAACCGTGGTAAGAGCTGTTAGTCTCACTTAAATTTGTGTAAATTTTGGTGGGAATATTAAATCTTTCTTCTTTGATTGGTACCACCAAATTTAGATATACATTATTTTCATCTTCTACAGTTGGTATAAAATTTGGTATAATAAATAGTGTTACACCAAATTTGACGTGTAACTATTCATTACATCAAATTTGGTGCCACCATTGGAGATGTTCTTATAGTAAAGCAAAGACTTACGGAACAAGAAATGGAGTTGTTATGATCTTCTTTTTAGATCAAAATCAGATCAAACCATTTATTAAAAATGTAAAAAAATGGGTTTGATGCCGATGGATGTAAGGAAGGTTACATTCATGACCCAACAAGAAAACACGAGAATCAGAACATCTTCGTATGCGTCAAGATTTATGGTAACAAGAAAAGTCGGCCTCTATTCGTTTACATCATTTTTCCGGTTTATCGTTCTTTATATATCGGACCATATATTCATTTTTTGCTCGCATCACATAACGTATAAATAAGACCCGAATATGAAGACATTAATCATTTAATACACCAGATAAAACAACTAACATAGTAATTTCATTCGGGTTTTCTTGTTGCAAGCATATTCGGTACAAGATGTTCACAAAACTATTGA